TTTTCTTGCCTATTGTTTCATATAGTTCCTGAGATATGTGCTGTCTGTATTAAAGTTGGTCTGTAAGAATGTCTTTCTAACTGTGGCATTATGTTTTAAATAAAAACAGAAGGGGGTGGCACCTACTCCCTTACCTTAGACTTTAATCAAACTCCAAAGATAGGATCTCTTCCAAAGGCTGTATAAGACACATTAGTACAGATATATTATGCATATTTAAAAGACATTTCAGTTTTAATTATCATTAAATTATCACTATAATTATATTTCTTGATCTGAGATACCTCAAACAGAGTAAAACATAAAATTTTAAATGTTCTAATTGCTTTTATAAGGATCAACCTCTCAGATTACAGTAGGGAAATGAAACCCTTCAGATGCATTCCATGGGCAAAAGTGTTAGTTGTATAAAATGAGCCCTAAATGGCTCTCTTGCACTCTGCTTCCAGTTGGCAGAGAGAAAAGAGATAAAAATGCTCTGTGCTGCCCAAGATTCCCCCAACTTGTTCATAAGATTCTGAGAATATAGTCACACCAATATGAGGAGAAAAGAAGGTCTGATAATCTATCAGTGCAAGGAAGGACCCAAACATATTATCTTGCAATGGAAGCTGCTTCAAAGCCAAGGTGCATCTGTGAGGGGCCCTTGGGTAAATCCCAAACATTGGTTTAGGGTTGTAAAGATTGATCATACAAAGTGTATGTGATCCAAAACCATGCTTCTTGATTACAATAACTATTTAAAGGACATAATAGTTGTGGATTCAGTCTGAAGAAGGAGCACAACACTGACCCAAAACACAACACTGTACCAAGCTTTATTGGAATGATCAGTCACTGGGTACCTGCTTTACAAGAAAGTGGGACCTCGAACAATGGAAAAGCAAAGATTTTTATAGAAATTGAGGGCTACAAGGTGGGAAATCCTAGAGATCTGATTTGCTGGCTTGTTTGGTGAGGCAGGTCCTTGTCAGTGTGCCTGGGGTTAGTTCTATTTTTAGGCAAAATGGGTCTTTCAGGAGGGCAGCAGAGCTGAAGAAGCCCATTATTAGAGGAGATGGAATGTTATTCGGTTGGAATAACCAAATTCAGCTGATAGAGGATGGAAGGTTGGGGCTTCTCCATGTTGCAATTCCCTTGTTAGGGCTGCCCTTGGGCTGTTCTGTGAGCTGGTGAGGTGGTTTCTATTTGGTTTAGATGGGATTGCAGGGGGGATTTGTCTGGCAGCAGGGAGGATTTGGTGGGATCTGATGGAATTTGGCAAAGAGATGAACTGGGTTTTGACCCTAGTCATATCTAAAAGATAGGGAGGAAAAAGGTGCAACCTCCATTTTGTTTGCTAGGTTTATTTTCTCCACCACAATGATCCATCTAATCCTAAATTACATATACACAATCACTAACATAATGTCTTCCAGACAATTCTCTGCACACTATAGTCCACTCTTTGATTATGTATGGGTCATTAGGTTTGCATGACGTACAAATGGCATTACTTTTACAAACATAACAATTAAGAAGATAAAAAATACATTGTTTAAGTCAATAAGAGTGTGGCTTGGAGCCCAGACAGCAGCATACTATATTCAAAGAAATATAAAAGTAAAGAGTTGAGAGACAGCCTCCCCAAATAAGGGCAATTTAAACCAATAGGGGGAGGCATAAAGAGAAACGTAGAAACTCTTGGTATAATATAGCCAGAATTTTGAAGGTTTTCTGCCATAGTAAAAAGGGAAAGAGATTTACAAGATACAGCACACATGCACCACAAAAGGCAAACTCACTAACCTCTTGCATCAGTGACTGAGGCATAAACTTGGATAGCCATCATATTAAAGGGTTGTCTGCAAGTCTTAACTGATACCATTTGGTTAAATGACTGTATTGAACCCAAGTACTGCCTTTGCTACATTCTTCCCGAGTATAAAAGCAACACAATTCCTTTTATTTGTGTGTGTCCTGAGTAGTAAACAGTATGATCTAACTTAAAGTATCCAATTCTAGTCCAGATGTCAATGTACTGTTGATTTATTTAATCTTTCACTGTATTAAGCTTTCCCATATTCATGCTTCTTACATATTCTCACTGTAATTCTATCTTTGCATTTTTGGATTTTCTTTTCCTGCAACATAATATCAGCAATTAGATGTACTGAAGGCTTTATTCTAGCCATGTCATAAACACCATTAGCACTGAAAGGTTCTCAGTTCTTCCTCAGTAGCGTTTTCAGTACCACTGACCAGCCGGGCACGGTGGCGTGAGCCTGTAATCCAGGTACTCTGGAAGCTGAGGCTGGCGGATTGCTTGAGCTCAGGAGTTCTGGGCTGCAGTGGGCTATGCCAATCAGGTGTCTGCACTAAGTTCAGCATCAATATGGTGATCCCCGGGGAGCCGGGGGCCACCAGGTTGCCTAAGGAGGGGTGAACCGGCCCAGGTCGGAGACGGAGCAGGTCAAAACTCCCGTGCTGATCAGTGCCACTGACCTTAGTGCATCATCTTGCACTAAGTCATTAAGAGTTCCCTTCTGTAGTAAAATTTGATGGACTTATGCACTAGGAATCTAGTGGGGAGAAAGACCCCAATTTGCAGGAAAGTGGAGTGCCTTCAGTGTTCTCTTCAGTGACACCCTGGGTACAGCAAACCTAGTAGCAATGTAGAATAAAAATAATATTCAAAAAGACTGACCTTTCCAAATTAAAATTGCACAAACATCACCCATTAATCCCTCCCATGTGCACTGGTGATTACTGAGTCTTGTAACACAATGGAGCAGATGCAGAGAAAGGGTATTTCCATGAGGAGATGTCACCAGAGCCGTGAACTCATCCTGGGCAAATTCCTTTTGTCAGTCATAGCATAAACTTCTCAATGATTCTGATTCTTCTTTGAAACTTGCTAACCAAAGAAGTCTATCTCCTTTGTCCCCCCAGTTTTCTGTGCATCAGCTGCAAAGGAAGGGTGATTTATTTTTCAATTCCCAAGTGAAATGGAAACAGACACAGAAAAACATGTTTCCCAAAAAATTACCAAACTTAGAAGGGGTTCCAATCTTGAATTGTTATGCTAAAGGATGCTAAAAGACAGACAGTTTACTGATTCAAAGAGGATCCACCAAAGATGAAACAAGGATGCAGAAATTCTGTACAGTAGAAATGTCAAAATCCAAAAAACCTTAGAAGATATTATCTATATGCAAGAGTTAGATAGCATTCTGCTCAATACTATGTTGGAAGTGTCAGAAAACGACAGACACGGGTTCGGTTGTCCAGTAGACAGAAGTTTTTTATTGGGC